CTCTCGTCACGGCCGCTGCGCTACCCGCTGTCCTACACTACGCTACCGCTACCCTACTACCTACTTACCTGCCTGCGCTCTTCTTTTATTAAAACATTTGATCCCATATCCCCATCCTCTGGACCTCCGCCACTTACACCTCCATACATACAGCCATACATACACCCACGCACCTGCAATCCTGACGGCTTGCCCATTTTAACCTTCACGCAGTCCTCCCAACCTGTCGCATCGCTCGAGCCGGATCATCCCCACTCGCTGCGATCCCCGCCTATATCCCAACCCAGTGCCGTACATTAGTTCGTTCGTCAGCGCCGCCAGAAATCGGTCGGGTTTCATCGACACGTCGCCTCGCCTTAAGAGGCTTACCTGCCTCCTCCTCTTTCTCCTCGTCGCCCTTCTCTCCTCCGATCCACTTCTGGGAGCAGATCCACTACTTCACTGAGGGCGCCAATCTACTTTCGCCATGTCATCCCGAGGAGGCAGCCGCAAGGTGGCTTATATGGAGGACGAGGACGAGTACGGGAACGCTCTCGAGGAAACAAAGACCTATGCTGCTTCGACAGCACCAAGCCCTTCCAAGGAGAAGCCAAACACAAGCAGGACACGCAAGGACAAGTCGAGGAGAGACTCGTCGTCACCTGCTAACGCTCTCACCGACTCCGACTCTACCGTACATCCCAGCAGTGCGGTCAAGAGGGAGTCCAAGATGAAGTCAAGGGAGAAGGAGAGGGACCGGGAAAGAGAGAAGTCATCAAGCAGCAAAAAGCAAGTGACTGTGGTTCGGCCTTCTATTCCAAAACAGTCAAAGACTGTCCCAAATCTGCAAAGCAGCTCTTTCCGAAGATCTCACGATGAATCGTCCTACTATGGCGTTAGTCCCGCAACAACTACAACAACAGCCGCTTCATCACGGCCTCGTGCGCACACCGGGAACCCGAGACCAAACAGTTACTATGGCGCTTCAATATCACGGCCACCCCTCTCCAGTGCTCGGTACCAGCACCATTATCCTCCACCGCCCCCACCAGGAGCATTACCAACATCATTTCCACCGCAAGCATGGCAATCTGCCGGGCCCGTCTCATATCCCGTGCACCCATCTCCAGCACCGCCGCCACAACCATTGGACTACTTCGCCAGTCGACCAAATAATCCATTATCGGCACGGTTCAATCGTCCAGCCTCTGCCATGGGCTACCGTCCCAGCCCGACCATTGCATATGGCAATGGCAGTGACTACGATCAAGAAAATGATAACATGCCGTTGATCCGGAGGGTTTCACTCACCAAGAAAGCCAGAGACCAAGAAGATCGGGATCTCATGCCACCTCCGCCACGACCTTCTACAACAGTCACAATGAGATCGTCTCCATTTGCACCACCACCTGCTCCGTTAAGGCGGACAGTGGGCTTCGATGATGACGCATTCGCCGGTGATGGGTCGCTCTATCAAGACGTCTCTCCACTCACGCGTTATGAGTTCAATCAAGGCACTGTGGCCCGCGCGAGGCGGCCCAGTATCGGTGCTCCCACTGTCAGCTATGACGTTGGAAGCTATCGGACTGAGGTAGCTGGCAGGTCGAGCCGCAGGAACTCGTACTACGGAGAGCAAAGCGTCTCTTCCGGTAGTGGGTACGAGGAAAAGATGCGCTCGGCAACCACATATCAGCATGACGTGGAAGGTGGTCCCACTATGCCCTTGACAGCAGAAACATTACGCAAGGCGAGCAAGAACAGCAAGACCAGCAGCCGCTCAACCCGAAGCTCTGGCAGCCACGACGAGAGCGACTTCAGAAGGTCGAACACAACACGGACGACGACCAGCAATGACGAGGACATCACCATTCGTGTGAAAGGTGCCGCCACACTCAAGGTTGGGAACGCCGAAATGGAATGCAAGGATGGCGCTGAAATCAACATCAACTCCCGGAACAATGGAGGTACTGTCCGAGGCGGGAGCGACAGAGACAGCTCCTTCTATGGGGACGACCGACGCACAAGGATCGAACGCCCACCCACGCGGGCCCGTGCCAGCTCACAAGCTGGGTCGTACACGCGCACTGCACCACCTCTTATGTATGATCCCTACTACCAGGGAATTCCATACCGACCGGCAGCACCTCCTAGCGAGTGGCTATGAGCAAGAAACGCATGCAACGAAGCACAGACACGACTGTGATGACGTTTAATGAGGACGATGATGAAGGCGATGACGAGTTTCGATGATGTTGATAGCGGCCCGGATTTCCACATTTTGCATACTTTTGCCTTTTACTGCGCACAATACTGTCGAGCAAGCGACGTCATATTTTACGTTTTTGGAATGTACCTTTCAAAGGCAACCTACGAGGCTGCCTCCTGGCGACTTCTGCCGCATAATATCTTCTTCAGTCCTATCCTATGCTACGATCTGGTGGTATTTTGTACTGCGTTTCGCTGGCGGGAAAAAGCGCATACCCCAAAAAAGGCGTGGGCCAAAAAGGACCTGATTTTATTTTCCTTCTTGTTTTCTTTCACGGATCTTCTCGATTGGAGCTCAACTTCTGGTTCTAATAACTCGTCACCGATACCCAGGGGCAGAGTTGATACATGGATGAACTGGCTCTCGCAAGCCAGTTCCTCCTTCCTTCAAGCGAGCGATTGGTGCTTAGTGGTCCCCTTCTTGTTGTTTTTGTCTGGCGGCTGTGCCAAGGATGGGAATCTGTTCGATTTGATGCGCGCTTCTCGTTCTTCTGTTTTTACACTGGTATGGCAGTGCCGTTGCTTTGCGATACCTTCTGTACTGAAGCATGTTTCGCATTTGCATGGCGTCAAGAGCTGGACTGATAGATCTGTACGGCAACGAGTTCACACTTTTTGTGGCAGGAATAATCTTTTGCAAAAGGAGGGCATGCCATCTTTGGTTTTCTAGACATCACAGCGGGATTCTGTTCAGTTCATTCTGGCAACGTTATACTATTGTTCTTTTCTTGAGGCTTGCCCGCGCCTCGACATGTTAGGGATATCTAGGACGAACGTCTTGCTTGAGACCGTCTCCAGACATGTGCATGAATGGGGGGGGGTGGAGGCAACAATGCAGGGAGAGAAGGGGGGATAAGCCCCCCTTCTCTCATCAGGAAGCGCTAAGGCGTGGGCGGTCATCTGGAGAACTGTGGATGGCATGGCATACCTGTTACCTTTTGTGAAAGGTTCATTGTCGTTATAGATAGGGATACAAAGTCAATTATTGGTCGGAAGGAAGATTGTGGTGGATATATCCAACCTACCTAGTAGCTAGCTACCTACTTCAGACTCGAATGGAAAACAAGGGGCAAGGCTTTACGTCTGCTCCGTCCCTTTGAAGATGACGAATATTTCCGTCTCGGTAGTCTCTCCTCGTGGAATAACCTGATTAGTGTGGTCTTGAGTCACCTCAACTGACCGAGTCTATCTGCCGACTTTTTGCTCTGTTCAATTGCCCTTGCCAGCTGGCGCGATTTGATATGTTATCCTTCGAAAGTACAACATACGGTGCGAGCTGGACATATCACCACTCCCTAGGTAGCTAACAGCGGTAGCTCCTCAGGAGGCACCAATCCAACCCCTGGCCCGATGTGGCATGAGAGATCAACAATGCAGTGGGCGCATCCCGACGCGCACCAGCACCGATCTCCCCCCAGCTGGGGTCTGCATGAGCGAGCTGCGGGCACCCAATGCAGGACGAACTGTCTATCTATCTGTCTGTCTGTCTGTCGCCAGCTGTCTGTCTGTCTGTAGCTGTTACCGCTGCTGCTGGGCTGTTGCTGTTGGGTCGTCGGATGCCTGACACGAGGACAAGGTGATACGATACGGGTCTGAAACGCCGTCACGCCCAAGCATTCACCCCCCCGGACGAGATGCGTGTGCTTGTGTGTGTGAGTGGGGAGAGGGAGCTACCACAGGAAGCTGTGCTGGCCTTCCACGGCGCTTCTTTTCGTTCCAACAAGCTCGACCACCCCTGTGAGAAGTGTGCGAACAGGAGATTGTCGGAGAGGAGAAGGCGATCGAGGATTCTACGTTGACGCCCTCCTTTTCTCGTCGCATTGTGCGACTTATAGGGCGGGCGTTTCATTCACGCCCCTCCCCCTTTTATACGTAACCTCTGGCGTGACTGACGGGATGTCTGTTCGCCGTGCAGGCAGTACCGATGACTTGGCTAGCAGATTGGAGGTGGAGGTGGAGCAAGCTTTCAGGGGAGCTCTGAACCTTGTTCTAGGGCGGGCGGCGCCTTGCCATCCGTCCTGGCGGGAACTGCACCAGTGGGGCTGCCCATGCAGTTAGGCCCAGTATGGCGCCTGGTGGCGTGGCCCACTGCTGGAGTTGGTTGCCTGGCCAGCCATCGCAACTGTTTACTCACGTCATTTACAGGGTTGAGGTGAAATGATCACGCCTCAGCGTTGGACTTGCGGAAAGAAGGACGGGATGACAGCAAGAAGGACTGACAGACGGCATGATTTATGAGCTGCACTATCATTGGTATCAGTCGATTTATCAGGAATAAACAAGCTGTTTGTGTTCTTAGTCTTGAGTTCTTCAAGTGCATCTTGCAGAGCCAAAGCCTGGAGCCGTGGACACCCCACCAACCTCGCCCGCAGGAGTCAGGACAGACATCCCGGCCAACGGCCAACAGCCACCAGCCACCAGCCACCAGGGTTTCCCACGTTTCTAGGGGAACAAGATAACCACGACAACCGCCCTCTCACGCCAACTCTTGCTTGGTCTCTCCCTCACACCATTCACCATTAGCACATTCCACGTCGGCTAATCTGCATATCGACGACATCATCACCAAATTCCATCTCCAGCAACTCTTCGTTTAGGTGTTCGACGCCAGAACCAAACGAGGCATTGATTGCCTGAAATCTTCACACTTCCATCTCGGCTGGTCTCCCAGCTAGAACCAGCCCAGATCCGCATTTAGACTTCACCTGAGTCACCACCATTCCAGTACTCTCACTGAGACAGACGGTCCCGACACGATGGCGCCAGCTCCGACGCTCGCCATCCAGGTCCGCAGTCTCCTGACCCACGCCGTCTCCGCCGGGCTCACGCCCCGAAGCGTTGACGGCGACGGCGACGGCGGCTCGCCCCTCGGCCCGCTCGCCGTGCACAACGCCATCCTCGCCCGCGACGATGCCAGCAACAACCAGCCCGATCCGGATAAGGGCATCATCCACCCGGGCGACATCAACAACAACGCCATGTTTGCGCTGTTCGGCATCATCGGCGCCGCCTTCGTCTGCCTCGGCATCTGGTTCTTCTTCTGGGCGCGCAACGGCGGCTTCTACTTCAAGAAGGACGACTGGGACGACTACAAGTCCACCGTGCTGCGCCGCAAGGGTCCCAACGGCACCATCCTCTCCGGGGCGACGCCGTCGACGCAGCTCGGCGGCGGCAGCGTCTACAAGGACGTGGACGACGGCAGCACCGAGGACGCCACGACGGTGGTCAGCGGCACGACGGGCATCACGGGCGGGGTGAGCGACATTGTTGGGCGCGACAAGCGGCGGCGCAAGCGCGAGCAGAAGGAGCGCGAGAAGGAGCGCCGCCGCGAGGAGAAGGCCCGCGAGAAGGAGGAGCGCAAGCGCAGCAAGAGCCGCACCGGCACCGGCACCGGCGGCAACCGCAAGGTGGACGGGAACGGCGAGGTCATCGACGAGGAGGCCGAGGCCCTGGCCAAGGCGCAGCTGCGCAACTACCGCCACGAGCGCCCGGCGCGCGTCGGCGGCCTGAACAAGGAGAGCGATGGCAGCGCCTGGGACGGCTCGACCAACCCCTCGAACTCGACCATGACGGGCACGGAGAGCACCGTCACGTCCGAGCTGATCAGCAACCGCGAGCGCACGCCCACCAACACGCCCACCAAGAAGTCGAGCGGCGGCATCCGCAAGGTGTACTCCACTGCCGACAGGACGGCCGACCGCGAGTCGGACCGCATCCGCGCAGAGGCCCGCAAGCTGCAGGAGAAGGGCCGCTCGGCGCAGCGCCGCGACTTCAGCTTCCAGCGTGCGGAGAGCGCACACATGCTCGAGGGCCACGGCCGAAGTGACGATGGAGACTCGCGCGTGCCGGGCAGCTGGGCTGAGAGTGACGTCGGAAGCGAGGTTGGCACCAAGTCCTATCACCACGTCATCCCCGGTCTATCATCTACAGCGTCTACGAGCGACTATCAGGAGGAGAAGCGCAAGAAACGGGGTGGGGCGGGTTATCGAAGGGGCAGACAGGACGAGATGAGTGAAATTAGCGAGCGTTAGTGAAATTGCTCTACAGGACGCCGCTGAGAATCAAGAGGAGAGTTGCAATGAGCTACATTTTGTACAATGCCGGACTGACCGACTGCGACGAAGGCAAAATATGCCAGGATATGACATATCGACATTGAAGGGCGAAGGGAAAACGACTTGATGGACATTGCTGGCGTTGGGTACTTCTTTTCCTCTCGGAACGCTGGTCTTGTAATGTAGGCACGGATGCTTGTCAAATAGAATGAACATGAATGATCAAAACACAGTCTTTACATCCAAAAGCTATCGAACGTGATGAAGATGTTTCGCTTTGTCTCTTACCCCAGACGATTTCGCTGATCAACTTGTCGCGGTGAGAGTCTATACCAAATACTATAAGCTAAAATTGATATTGTGTAAGTCGCCCGTCTGCAAAGTAGATACCACCTACACATTGAGAGGTAGATCATACACGCTTCCGTCCTTTGAAAAGAGGAAGTTAAGAGTCTAGATGTTCATGTGCCATTGTTAGTCTACGGTGAAGCGGCCTGCGATTCGTCCGATCTGACAGAGCCAAGCCACTCGATGCAGAAGACAGCAAGGAACTGAGGGAGCGTCGCATCGCTTGCTCCCGAAGCAGGGGCTGATTGGCGATACTAACTGTGCTTGCCAGGCTCGCCAGGGAAGACTGGATCGTGAAAGTCCTGGTCGCGGACATCTGCTTTCCCCAGGGTTGCGCCAAGCTTGTCAAATGACAGCATTGCGCAGGGGCTGACAGGAAGCCGATCCCCAGGATCTAGTGATCCGAATAAATTGACCGCATACCCAGCTCCTCCGTCTACGTCTCGCTTCTGAAATCGAGGGTTCGTCTCGCACGTTTACAAGATGGCAGCTCTGAGGCTCGCACTCATACTGTCAACGCTGGCGTGGCGCGCAGCGGCTGCAAACTCCAACGGCCTGTTCAATGCGCAGCCGTACTGCACCTACGACTGGGCCGACTCGCGGTACATCACCTTCTACGGCACGGTGACGGCGACATACTGGTTCGACAGCACATGCTGCGACCTGCGCTACGGCGGCCATGAAAACGAAGATGCGGCATGCTCTTCTCAGGGGTTTGGCTTCCTGCCGGACAACAACACCTGGCTTTACGTGGGCAAGAACCCTACGTCCTGGGACGACAATCCGTGGTTCTTCGAACTGTACCACCTCACCTACGACCGCAACTTCAGCTACGTGACGACGGACAGCCTGACGGAGCTGGACTTTGCGAGCAGCGTGCTCGCGTGCTGGGAGGACGACCTTCCGTGCCTGTGGACCGCGTACACGCCGACCTTCAGGGAGGAGCGGCAGCTGGACCTGACCAAGGCGAACGTGTCGCTCGCCAACGGGACGTACAGGGCCAGCGGCGACCAGGGCGCCTGGGCGGGCAACGCCAGCGACGCGTACCATCCGGGCGTGAGCATTGCGCGGTCGAGCTGCGACTATCTGGACGACAACAAGGACCTCCAGAGGACGGTGTCGTTTGTTGATTTTCAATGGTATGTGAACAACAACCGGGTCCGCCCAGGCAGTGTATAACACGGCTGAACCATGATATACAGGAAAGACGGCATCAACTTCACCTACTCCCTCGTCTTCTCAAACACCTCGGCGAGCTTCGAGATCGCGACGTCGGTAAACGGCAGCAGGCTCGAGCTCAGCTTCGCGGGCGAGAGGCGCGACAACAAGTCGCTGCCCGTCGAGCTCGACACCTCGGACGACGCGTTGCCGCAGTTCAAGTTCATCAACGGCAGTGCGCTGTGGCCAGAGACTTCGACGTCCACAACGAGCCTGCCAACAGCAACGAGCTCCGGCGGTGGATCTGCTACCGCAGTCACGACTACGTCTTCGAGCGCGGCTGCGGAACCACAGGCTGGAGGCCCTGTCGGGGCGGGATCGCTAGTAGGATCCCTGCTCCTGGCCGTTTTGCAGATATTCTTTACTTGAACGGAACATCAACAACGTGCCCACGAAGTGGGAGATCTGCCGCATACGTCTGTTGAGAAATCGGACCCTCAAATCATAGTGGAGCCCAGTCGCCGGCAAGCCCGGGAGCAAGTAATCCTGGTCATCAACGGCTCCGGGTCCCGGCGCACTGTCCGCACTTGTTGTGATGGTGGTGGGGACCGGGCTGTTCGGATGATTCTGCAAGAACGGGAGGGAGGGACGATGCAATCCGATGGTCCCTTTTGCAGCGATTTTTACCTTAATTATTGGAGATCGCGGTGGATCTAGCGTCGCGGTGTCGCATATACTGCAAAGTAGCTCCATGAAGTCGAGTCGTGCGCATCAGCGGTAAAAATAGGCGCAGCCAGTCCCCAAGGATTCAAAGCTCAGCCCCCCCAAGCTCAGCTCCTCGAGCATCGTGTTGTGGTCCGCAGTGCGACTGGCAGGAATCGAAAGGGGAATCCTGCAAGGGGCAGAGCTGACAGCGAGCTGGACCTTTGTGCACATTTAAAAGGAAGGGAAGCTGGGTTCTCTGCACATTGGCAACAATTGTAGTCAGCACGCCACTGTAAGGAGTAGTCTAAAATACATCATAGCAGTGTAACAACAACAACAAGATGAACAATTATAGTAGTCCATGCAGGGACCCTTTAGATAGGAGGCTGCACCGAGTCCATCATAATAAGGCCCTTGAAACCATTGCGCCTCTTGAAACTTGATGTCTGCGCACGGCGATTGGAGAACCCTTGCGGGACCCGCTGCTGAGGGCGCTTTGGGACTTTATGCGTCTGTACTTGTACTCTGTAGTGTAGGAGCGTCTGTCCCTTTGCTCGAATATGGAGACTGATTGAGTCTGTCTTTCGCAATGATGAGGAGTGACTCGAAAGCCGTTGCCTCGGAGGACTGTCTGTCCTAGTCTCGTGATCACCAGCGTGGTGTTGCTTGGCAGTTGGTGTTGGTGTTGGGCTCTCGGGCACTCGGCATTCCAGCAAGTTCGAGACGGTGATGAAGGGAAGATAGAAACTGGAGATCGGCAAGCCTGGGGCAGTCCTGGCAGTCCTGGCAGTCTCAAGCAGCGTCATCGCCTGGTTCAGCAGGACTCCATCCCTGCCGAGTACATCGGCTTCCCCGCCACGCTGTTAGTGGGCCCGCGTGGCTCCCTGCATGAGACTAGCAGCGGGCATGAGACGGCGCTGTATCGTTTCCGGCTCTATCAGCTTCCAGTGCAGGCTGCCTGCTATGCAGTAAGCCCAGGCCCCGAGGCTCCCTGCTTCCAGGGCCCGGATCTGAAGTGCCTCGACTTTTGGCTGGCTGGCTGCATGCATCATCACTCACTCACCTCATTCATTCTTATCCATTCCACCCTATTTTCTGGTCTCCTCACACAATCACCACATCCTCCTGCTTCGATCGGCTTCTTCTCTTCTTCGCTTTCTTGCTTTGGTTTCTTGCTTTCCAGCTTGCTGGCTTGCTTGAGGCTCTTCATCCCTCTCCTCTCCTCCGAGTCGCATCGCAACGCTGACGAATCAATTGCTTGCTGACTCCATCTGGTAGCGAGGCTAGACCGAACTGGAACTGGAACTGGAACTGGACCTGGAACTCGAATTGGAAGGGTCTGAATCTGATTGCCACTGCGTCGCATCCGCCGAGGACCTGAGGGACTTCCCGTCACACGATTCCAGCGCACCTGGGCACCTGGGCACCGCACCGCACACCTGACAGGCCAACCACCAGCACCAGCCTGTTTTGGATCATCCATCCCCAACTCAACCTGTCTGCCCTGTCCCACTCCGCTGCTGCGATACGCAATCCTCGACAATACAACCAAACACCAACCTCTGCACCTCCGCACACGACCACTGCGTCCATCGCAGCCATCACCACGCTTCGCTTCTTCACACTCGAACTTGACGAATCGGTCCGTTTTCCTTTGTACCTAGAATCGACGTCTAATTCCCTTATCACCAGACGACCGCCGCTACGAATGCTTGAGCCACGGCGGTGACGCCACCCATTCGTCAACTCCTCTCGGTAGGATCGTTGTACATATCCTGCGGTGATTCTTTTCAATTTCGCATCTTTCGAAACCCACAAAAAAGTTGAGATCATGGCGTCGCGGACGCCCTCCCCCGCCCTCAATGGCGTAGTCATCGGGCTGCTGTCCTCCTTCGGGTCAGCCATCCTAATAGCCCTCATCTTCCTCGTCATCTGGTTCTTCAGATACACGCAATCAGGCCGTATCTTCCTCGACCGGATCGGCCGGCCGGGCGAGTACGATGATGAGCAGGCGTTTGCACGGGAGGAGGCAGAGGCCTTGGAGACCATGGACGACTCGCAGCGGATAGAGTATCTCAGAGCAAAAGGTACAGTGCTGGATGCATTGCCCTCACCCCGCCAGAGCGACCGCCTGCTAACATGTGACAAGCCTTCGTCACTTCAAATCCTCCCGAGTCTATTCAGACCGACATTTCCTTATCACAATACCTTGCCATCCAAGAGAAGGGCGTCTCAGCCTGGGAGTTTGAGCCCGAGCTGGAGATTGCCAACTGCTTTGTCGAGGGACGCACCGAAATAGAGTTCTTCGACTCCGAAAGTACCGTCATGACCAACCTGCCCGTTCCCAAACAGAACGAGGTATATTATTGGGAAGCCAAGGTCTATGATAAGCCAGAGTCAACGCTATTGAGCCTAGGGATGGTGACCAAGCCCTATCCGTTGTTCCGGTTACCAGGTACGTCTACAGTCTCGTCTCATCACCCTGGCGTTGACAGCATACTAACATTCTCACCAGGATTCCACAAGTTCTCCGTAGCGTACTTATCATCTGGCGTCCGACGATACAATCAGCCGTTCAACCCTACACCATACGGTCCCCAAATCGTGCAGGGAGACGTTATCGGCGTCGGTTATCGTCCCCGAACCGGGACTATTTTCTTTACTCGGAATGGCAAGAAGCTTGAGGATGTCGTCCATGGTCTGAAGACACAGAACTTCTTCCCCGCTGTTGGCGCCAACGGACCGGCGACGATTCACGTCAACTTCGGTCAGTCTGGCTTCGTATTCATCGAGGCGAACGTCAAGAAATGGGGCCTTGCTCCCATGACGGGATCGCTGGCGCCACCGCCGCCATACGGCTCTGAGGCAGGCAGTATCCTGCTCGAGACAGGCAGGAAGGATGGCTTTGCTAGCTCAGCTCCCCCGCCAGGCCGAGGTCATAGCAACTCCGTTCACACATATTTCCGCCACAATCAGCCGCTCGACCCTGGGCACAATCGCTCACGCTCGGGTGGAAACTTCAGGGTTCTTCCGCCTACGAGCCCAGGACCTGTTCGAAGTCCAACGGATATTTCCTTGGCACATCTTGTCCCCAACGATGATGGTGGCGAGTCAAGCAACGCTGCTCACAGCGATGGGACGGTCACCCACTCTGCGGCAGGACTAGGACTGCAGGAACCGAACCATCCACCACCAGAGTACACGAGTCCGGAATCTTCGGAAGATGGATCTCGACGGAACAGTTCAGATAGCGACAACACTCCATTGATACACGTTGCTCGGAGTCGAGGTGCCTCATCAGCTACGATAACACCTCGAAACGTCAACAGCAACAACAACAACACGCTGGATGGGCCTCCCATTCCAAGCTACTCTGACGCTGTCAGGCAAGGTGCCGGCCGTGACCGAAGTGACAGTGCTCGATCCGATCGACGACGCAGCCCCTAGGCGAATATATAAGGGTGTTTGAGCGTAACTGCCGAATGCCAGTGTGAACGATATAGCCGAGGCTTGATGCCTCTTACACGATAACTTTTCGTGGGACTGGAGCCCCGTATGAGGGCACCGGTGCCTGGATGGATAGAAGGTGTGAGTAGGTGGACTGAACAAGCCACCTGGAGATGGGATGAACGATAAGATCGATGTGACACAGAATACCCCCTGAGATGATGTGGTTTAGGATGGAACTTTGCATTTCGAGGTTGGCATCAAGCGACGGCAGGGCGCTGTCTTTTTCGGGGCTTCACGGGACAAAGCTTCCCACAACGATGGAAGTCAGCTACAACACTCGGAGTTTGAAGGACATTACGGCCAAGGGCAAGAGGGCCCAAGGCGAAATGGAGTTAATTGTCGGGACTACAAAAAACACTACACCTCGTTTCATTTGCTGTTGTCGCTGTTGGTTTAGATTACCTGTTAGCATGCAGCGTGCATCCCTGAGACAGGGTCAAAGAATTCAAATCTGATACCTCGAATGTTGATTCATAAGTGCAAAGAATGACTACTTCGTGCTCTATGATGCCTGTGCATACGGCGATGAAAACGGGGTCTAACGTAATGAAGCATGAAAGGCCTAGCTGTGATTCGAACCTAGGGGTCATTTAAAGAGAGCGACAAATCCACAAAACACCCGATTCCCCCTTTCCCGGAGTTCCTAGTCCAACTACCCACACCTTACCACGGAAGAATCTGTCCCCTCTGCGTGACGAACTTGCCCGAGAGGGTCTCTCGTGTGGCCCCGTCCACAACGCTCAGGATGCCCGCGGCGCTCTCCTCGACCGTGACGCCCGGCTCCACCCCGGGAGTGGCCCAGTCGGCCGCCGCCGCATGGCCCATGGCCGTCTTGACGAAGCCCGGGTGCAGCGCGACGCTGACGAGCCCGTCCGCCGCGTGCTGGGCGTGCAGCGCCACGGCGAGCCAGTTGAGCGCCGCCTTGGAGGGCCCGTACGAGCCGCCCGGCAGCGGCTCCGGGTTGCCGATGATGCCCACGGACGAGGAGACGGCGACGAACTTGGGGCCGGGGGGCGCGGCCGCCTTCTTCATGAGCGGCCACAGCGCCTGGAACACCAGCAGCGGCGCGATCGTGTTCACCTCGTACGACGCGCGCATCTCGGCCGCGGACGTCTCCAGCGCGGTGGCCATGGGCGCGCAGTGCGCCGCCGAGCAGATGAGCACGTCGACGTGGGCGACCGCCGGAGGGAAGCGGGCGCGGATCTCGTCCGGGTGCAGCCCCGCGGCGAGATCCAGCAGCATCCCGTGCATGACGCTGCCCTCGCCCCGGGGCAGGTCGGCCGCGGCGGCCGCGAGGCTGGCCAGGGCGGCGTCGCTGCGTGCGGTGCCGACCACGGTGGTGCGGGGGCGCGCGAGCAGCGCGGCGACGAGGCCGAGCCCGATGCCGCGGTTGGCGCCGGTGATGACGTAGACGGTGTTGTTGGTCTCGGTGGACGGCATGTTGATGAAGAACGGTTCGAGGCAGAGGTATTATATGCTTGGGGATTCTTTCGTTAGTACCCTGGTCGTCCGAGTCAGGGGGTGAAGGTTGAGAGGTGATTCTCGCCCAGCGCGGAACTCACACTCGTGGAGGTTAGAGAAAACTCGATGAAAACGGCACGAAAATCCGAGATTTTTTATCGCATGGGTTGCTAGACAAGGCGCAATATCTTATCAATTCGGTCAAGGCACTGCTCAATTGTGTTTGAAGAGAAAGAGGAGGGAAAAGGGCGCGCAATTCGGGGTTGTGTGCTGAAACCAGGTCGACCTCTCCCGTGTTATTGATAAGTGGGGCCAGCTTGTGGGTTGCCTATTCGGGCATGTACGACTATTGCGAAGGATTCTCACCATGAAGAACATGACGAGAATCAGAGTCGAAAGGGCGTAGGAGACCGCAAATGGCACAGTCACAAGGAGTAAACATTATTGCATATAAGAGATATCGCTCTTTGGTGTTAGGAATTTTGACGAGCCATTTCTGCGCGTTGTTAGACGAACGAAAGGTAATCAAGACTTGACGCGTTGACGGCGTCATCGTTGGACGTTGTCTTTGTGACCCTTTTCTAGAATCGAAATCGGTAATTCTGAATTTTATTTGCAGATTTGTATATCTTGATTTCATATGAAAGTGCTATTGCAAAGTTCTCGTGGTCGTTATGTGAAAAAGTGCTGTCGTGAAGAAGGTCCCTAGAGCAGCCGAAGACATTTCTCCGCGTCATGCCGTGTTCGCATATGAGTTGGACAATAGCTACTAACTGTCAGTAATTGTAGCTATAGCAATATATCCTAGACTTAGGAATCTGAGACAGCTTTGCCTCTACTCAGACTTCTGTTTATGAAGTGGCCACTTGACGAGCAAATGGGACACGGTCTAACATGAGTTTCTCGGGGCAAACCCACAACCACAGTGAGAACCGGTTGAAATTTTCCTTTCCTGTACAAATACTCTTCAAAACTTCAATCTACTCCAACTTCAAGACAAAGAAATCCGGAGCCGTAAGCGCCATGTGCCTGTTAGTTCTAATGTCATCTCTACACAGTTCACCCGCCTCACCACACGAGCCAACACAGACTTGCATCTTGCGACTTATGATCGGCAATATACAGAAATAGAGTTGGATTTTTGCAGTTGCAACATCCGTAATTAATCGGTCACCTTCTCTCATACTCGTGGTGAGGAAGCCTTCAGACTGTTAGCATCAGCATCGTACATAGTGATCTAGAGCAATAGTGGGAACGAATATTGCCCTAATGAAAACACGATATGAATCTGGCAATGAGACATGAGATTATACCAACGATGGGACAAATTTAATTGTCATAGATTAGAGTATGCAGCATATAGTTCTGGCGGCTCCAACAGGACAACTACCATGTTGTGAAGCAAGTAATCTAAGCACCATGAGAACTATCCCTTTCAAGTTGAAGGAGATAAAAAGGGTATAAAAGAGATTTCTTTTCTGTCCGCGAACCATAGGGTATATGTCTAGGCGCCATAGCAGTCGTTTTGCAAGAGGCAAGCAACCACCTCTGCTCGAAAGCAGTTGTCCAGTGCTCCAGCGCACCAGTTCGGTTGAAATCAAATACCGAATGAAATGTGTGCGTCGGACTGGGAGAGGAGCAGTCTACTATGGGTAAGGTATAATCGAAATGTGCCAGAGATCTGCGTAAATATGAAGAGAAAGGCTCGGACAAGAGCGCCAAATGGCGAAGGGAAAGGAAAAGAGGTGTGATATCCTCGAGTTGCTTCCTAAAAAAACAGTTCAAAATTCCACTGGAAGATACGTATTTATATGATAGCAATGTGGTTTGAATTGAAAAAGAGTGAAGAGAATAGTATGAAACAGGAAGGGAAAATGGCTTGGCTCGGGGCTCGAATCTTGTAGCGACGCAGAGCCATCCTCAACCTCACATCGAGGCTTGATTTTGCGCTGGTGAAAAGAGGAAGGACTTTACTAGCCTACAAAGGCAAGACACTTGTCATCATCTATTTGAAACAGCTTCAGGCAGCGACATGGGTACTAACCGACGTTACGCAGCGACGGAAGTGGTGGTCGTTGAAACGGTGACAGAACCGGTAAGAAGCCGCGGAGGGACGTCACACGCTCTACATGGCATGTACAAGAACCCACGAAGTAGAGTACAAGACCCTCGAAGGGGGTTGGGCACCAAGACTCTGCAGCTCGTTGTTAAGGGGAGCGAGGAATTTGGGAGTCCTCAGTACAGTGTGTTCCTGCCGTGCACTTGACCCCATCTTGGCGTCTGCTATTGCGTCCGAAGGCACCCGTAGCGTCTGGATACGTACAAGAAAATGCGTGACAAGGTTTACACTGTGTTGCTTTTGGGAATGGTGGTGGGTAGTGTCGATGCCGCGCGATGCGTGATGGTGATGAGGGCTGGAGAGGAGTTGGGTAGAAGATCATGACTCGAAGATCAAGATGCAGGGGAAGGGAGGTATTCTGGAGATTGCATGAGTAATGACAAGGAACTATCACTCCGACGTCCTGGTCTCCGCCGGTACGTGGCCCTAGTTTGCTGTTCTAGGAGTTCTTATGTTTGCCTACTATGACCTAAGTCTGCTTAAGTCGATGCTGTACTGCTTGACTTGGGGTCCGTTGCGGAACGACGGGCCAAAGGGAAGAAATGGAAGATCATCATGGAACATCAGAAACAGCCTATTGTCCAGCAAGTACTACCAGCCTGGTATACCATGCTGGAGTCCTCCCCCCTGAGAGACATCGACCAGTACAACCCAAGGTCAGGATCACCCAAGCGGTGGGGACATGCCGTCTATCCAAAATAAAGCCATGCACTGTACGAAGTACACAACCTAGTTCACAGACAGCGGGAGGCCGGCTCCAATGAGGTTGGAGAGACGATGAAGAGCCAGGGGAAGCGGTGAGATTAGAGACAGACGGACAGGCGACGAGGCGTCGCCAGGAGAAATAGGGGGAATGACCCGACGATGGCCTCAGACCATTCATGTCTGACATTACTCAGTCGCTCTCCTTCTACTTTAAGTAGATGATGAGCGACTGCAACACAGGCTTCGCCTGCATTCGTGCTGCATGGCCAGTGGCGCACCAGTGTACACCACACGCGTGGCGATAGTACCATCGCCGTACCAGCAACGGCACCCACTCCGGCGACCAGCGCTAATACGGGACAGCAATTTTGTGACAGACACACTAGTAAGTGTCGGAACTTATTTTCTCTCATTGCTATTCTCCGTCCGTCGTATAGACGATTGCTACACTAGAGCCATGATCAACATTGTCCTTAGTGATGTCGCGCAATATGAACCATCTCTGATACTCTCTCATCCCGGCGTCCACGCCTTTCTCGGCTAGTCATGACGGGGTCTTCATCACGAACGAAACGATCGTCGAGCTATGCTAAGATGGACCGGCGGCTGGGAATACGGTCCTCGTTTTCCCCCGGCGTTAAAGAACGCCCTGGTGTAAATACGATGCTGGGATTCATGCGGACCGGCCCTGCCTGTCCTAACCCCTTGCACAGGCAGTTTGTAGTATGTGTGCGTGTGTGTGCTTGGTTAGTCAGTCCTTATGTATTCCGCCTTTGGCGCCCACATGCGCAAGCAGCTTGGCTCCAATGAACAAGGACAAAGAATGCAGAGGACGAGTCAGCCAGGAACGAAGATAACCTTGCAGACTACAATAGTCCTGCGAGACCCGAACCGATGGCACGGTGGTACATAGTAAGAAGTCTATCACAGCGGTACGAACCTTAGAAATGGGCTTAGGTTGGGTCCAAATACCGCCGAATCGTATAGTCACGATCCCTGCCCTTGGGAGGAGAGGAAGCATTGTGTAGGCTCTCTACCGCCGTGAGCCAGCAGAGTGACGCTTGGCGAGTACGGGAAGTGGAAGGTCAGCCTCTCATGAAACAAGCCCAATAGGGCTGATGAGCCTCCTCGTCTCCCGATGTCAGATATGTAAGCAAATGAGACTCTCGATCTGAAGAGAAGGGACCTTGCTTTCCCGAAGGTTATCTCTAGATGCGGCAAGCAACCGCAATGACGCCGACGAACAAGGGAGATCCAAGCTGTATGGCATGGGAGACACCTTCTTCCCGAGGTTGTGCTATTTCGGGACTGTCCTCTCACGATGCTAGGCTCAGTTACTCCGTCACCTGGCGTGGGCGGACCTTACGTGGGTAGGAGGCAGCCCCCCGTCGCTTGGAGAACGAACAGTAGGACCCAGATGAGTGAAAGCAGTGGTGCAGTAGGCCGCAGCAGTCGCGGGGGCGCGGGTGGTTGGGTGATGGGTCAGGGGGGTACCAGTCACACACTGATTTTCCGGGGCTGGCTAGGTCGACCTCGTATCCGGTGGAGTCCGTCGCGCTCGAACTGCGAGCAGGGATGAGAAGCACACACTTGTGATTTGTGGCAGGAAGAAAAAAGGCGCGGTAGCAACAAAGAGAAAGTGAGGTAGAGACAGATAGGCTGACAACAGGCGCGGAATAGTCACAAGTAGTGGTAAAGAGGAAGAATAGCATGAGTGAGAAAAGGCCCAGTGAAGTAGTGTGTGTGCGGTGATGCCAAATGACAAGACACGTTTGCTTAACATTAGAATATTATCTATTAGATTCCCGAGGCCAAGCACCCGCGCCGGTGCCGCCTTGTAGATTTGCCCGTTCGGCCTGGGTCCAGTAAAGACCACAGACACTCCGAGTTGAAGTCGGCACCAGCCGAAGCGGCGGTGATAAGCCCCTAGTCCTCTCTTCAATTGAGCGCCCTAGCGTGTAAATATGTGGTGCGCTCAAGTTGGCATTCTCTGTCATCGTCCGTGTTCGCTCTCATTGGGCAACATTCTTCTCGTCATGGAAACAAACAAGAGACCCAATGTATATCCATCAGATGTGCTTTATGAAAACGCCCATATTTCCCTTGTGCATCGGCTAGCTTCAGAGAGCGCCGGCTTCAGATCCAAACGAGAGAGAAAAAAAAAAAGGGCAGAAAAACAATGCTAACACGCTTATTAAATCAAAAATCAGTAAACAGTGAGAACGCCGCCCAATGCATCCAGTTGTGTCAAGATCCGCGACCTTTGACTTTTTGTTCCAACGCTGACAAAATGGGGCGCCGCCAATCGACGCAAAAACACATGAGGTGGTCGCTATGCATTCGGGTATCGTGATCATCATATCCGTAAGGAGCGTGTCTATGCCGAAATATCGTCATATTTTTTGGGCTGTTTCCAAAGGAGTGTCTATGCCGGGGTATATCCATCCATGCAATTGTAAAAAGGAGAGTTTCTAAGTTGGGTATCTTTGATGCTGAACAAAGGAGCGTCGTATGTATTATGTAATACAGATTAAAGTTCGTTGCGTTGATCGTCGTAAGGAGCGTAATAGCGCAGAAGCGGCATGGATGGTGATCCTTTTGGGTAAGGAACGTGGTGTACAGTAGCGTCAGGTGTTGGGAGAAGAAGATCGAGCATCCAGCTCGATTGCAGATTAAAAGTTGATTCGAAAATTTGGTAGCGGCATAGATGTGGAGGTGAGAGTGAAGCTAATTAGCTCTCTCCTTCCCTTTTCCCTTATCCTGAACAGTGGGCGGAGCGGAAGAGGTAGAGAGATTGTGTCGATGATGCGAAAACGGGGAGATAGAAGAGGGAACAGGCGATTCCGGGAGCGGGAGCATCCCGAAGTGTTCAGGCGCGAGAAACGGAGAGGGAGCTGCAGCTGGCAGAGACGTAGAAAGCAGAAGAGACGGATCCTCCGGTGGGGGATACGTTGGAGTAGAACTCAACAAGGAAGAAGAAGCCCTGCCCGCCAATGGTCAATCACTTTTTCCCTTCCAACCAAGGGCGTGCGGCCGGTGTGGTTGCCGTCTAAAGACTTAGATCCACACGGTCTGGATTGGAGAGACGAACCCGACGCCGTAGCTGCTTGGCCCGCCCATAGCCGGGGTGTTGGGGGCGAACCCCATATCAAAGGACCCATACTCTTCCGCATCGCTGTAAACAATGGAGGAGGTATCACCAAAATCACCAAATGTGCTGGAAGCCGGACTATACCCGCCGTAAGAGGGGCTAGGTATGCCCAAATATTGCTGATTGTTGAAGGAGGAGGACAATTGAAGCGGGCTAATCGCGCTGCTTGGACCCGAGTCGGTGGTCAGGACTGACAAATCCTCGGTGCTATAGCTGAAGGCAGGGTTGTCACCGTACGGCAGGTACTCTGAGGTCGTGGGGGGCATGGGCATCTGCACATCCTCATTTGTGTAGAAATTTGGCGGGTTGAACTGAGGGAACGATGGGGTGCGTGCAGGCTGAATCCAGCCCATGCGAGAGCGGAACTCGTTGACCGTGTCGATAGGGAACTCCATAAGGCGCAGTGGTGACTGAAGATCGCCCTCCATATCACCAGAGACGTTGAAAGAAAGCAGGCGACGAGCAATTTCCTCCACTGGCCCAATTGAGAGACTACCGAAGTACGCAGCCCCAATCTCCGGGAAGAGACGCTCCATCAAGATCGCTACTGTGTAGTAGTGTGCAATGATGATCAAGGCACTTGGAGAACCGCCGGTCTGCTGCAGATACATGACCGGAAGCCAGAACAGCCAAGTCCTCAATGGGCGAAGACGCTCAAATTGCTGGGCAATAGAGAGCGTGGGGCTGACCTTGCGAGATCCCTTCAGGAAGTTCATCAACTGCTGAATTGACTTGGTATCTTCGCGATTCTGCTTCAGGTGGGCCTCCACCTTCTGCAGCTGGGCTAGAGTTCGCTGGAAATAATCAATATCCTCTTTGCGCGGTTGGCTGGGTCTGTGATCTGGTGAAGGCGATGGTGGAGCAGTTGGGAACGTGTTGGTCTCGGCAATGAAATCGCCAAATTGTGACTCGTGTTTCCAGGGGTCCATGGCCTCGATGACCTTTCATCTAGTTAGAAGTGAAAACTTTCCATGTTAGTCCTATGTGCGACTTACTGAGCGGGTTCCTTGCATGAGTTGGGTCCAGCTCCGCCTATAACGAGATTAGTCTTGTTACCAATGACGCGGGAAGTTGCAGTATATTGGCTTACCAATCTGTGGCTTGCCACGAGAGCACCAAGGATGCCGCAAGCACAGCATCCGACGTTTCTCTCGAGAAAGTGCCGATGGCCTCCTGCAATCCTTTCAAAGCAATGCCGCGGTGCTCATAGGCCATATTGCCGACCAGGGGGCAGTCGGTGAGGAACGCCATGTGCATGGCAGAGAACGCGAGCAGAGCATGCATGACATAGCTCTGGGTAGCACCAATCTTGATGATCCTGGACGATGTACTTTGTCAGGCAATTGCGCCACATAACAGGGTATCGGGAGATCAGCCTTACGTAGGAATTTGGCGGGTCCAAAGTGTGAACCCATTGGCGTCGACAGTGCCGAGCTGGTGGCTGATAGAGGCAACATGGTGAATCAAGCGCATATCTTCAATGGACAGATACTGCGGATTTGGTGCAGGATAGATGTTGAGGCTTGGGAATGGGAAAACTCCAGTGCGCTGCCATTGCTCAATGGTCGCTTCGATTTCAGGAGTCCACATGAGATCAGGCCGGTCAGGGGTGGCAGACCTGTCCTCAGGGACAGGGACATCGTTGTACGGGCAGCGAATCTTGTGCTTCGTGCAGTTGCGGCTGAGAGATTATTAGCATATGTTCTAGCCTGCCTTCAAGAACAAGGCACCTACCATTGGGGGAAGTTCTCGTCACATCGAATGTGTCGACGCTTGCTGAAGAGGTCTTAGCGGATGTACGAGGCACTGGGAGGGGGACAAGATAGTAAGAGCATACCAAGTATCACAGCCCTTGCGGGATTTGGTGTGGCTACACTAACTATCAGTGCCTGGAGTTGTTGGGGAACAAATAGCATAAGTTGGAACCTACCTCCTACGAGGAGGACCGCCGCCAGGACCAGCCATTGCTAGTAGCTTTGGTGAAGAATTAACGAGAGAACTTGAAGGGACAATATTAGTATACGAAGCCATTGAGATGGTGAGGTAAGTGGTTGGGAGTCTGAGAAGGGAGGCATCGAGGAAGAGGAGGAGGGTACACAAGGTAGATGATATAGCAAACGAACTTACATGAAGTGTATCGAGGCACGAGAGTACGTGCTATGGGATAGCGAGTGTGCTGAGGTCGGACGGGAAGACACAAGGCTGCACCCGAGGCCGACTTATATTGATGAGGCGCGGGATGTCTCTTAATAAGAGGCAATCCGGGGTGGGCACAGTGGGTGAAGGTCCGAAACCTCGAGTCTAAAGCGGCAAGACGTTCCTTCGGCGTTAAAAAAGTGGTGAAGTTCTTGGATGGACCTCGAAAGTTTGAAGGCGATGACCAAGCTGCTGAACTCGGGATCTCTTGCTTGCCGTCTAGTTTTTAATTCTCTCCCCCTTCCGCAGAGCGAACGAGAGTAGCGATCGTGGGATGATTTGTGAGTAATGACAAAGGACTTAACGAAGGTGAAGTGTTAACCGAAGCCTTTATGAAAGACTCATCTGCCCCGGCACGGCACTTGAGAAGAAGCGTGGAGAGCAGCTAGTTCAGATCAAGGCAGTGGCTCGGGTTTTATATTCCCTTCAAGTGTGGGAGCAGAGAGGCTTTAATAGATAATTGGTGATGGTCAGGCTCAGTAAGTGGCTTGGGACTAGGATGATGATGATGCACAGGCAGAACAGAGACGAGGATGACGACTGGCGAAATAGTAGTAATACCGTTCCGTTCTCGTGCAAAGATCTCCAAAGCTCCAAAAGAAAAGAAAAAGCGAATGACAGGAGTCGACGAGGACTTCCTCAGGTGGTGCTTAAAGCGAATGTGGGTTGGGAGTTGCAGCGACGGGGCTGACGTTGTCGATGTTGATGGCAGGTTGGCTAGGAGGACCAAAGAGAGGCGAGCATCTTGGGGGGGGATCACATAGTTTAAGTAGTGGCCTGGGCTAACAAAACATGGTGTAAGAGGTAGGTAGGGTAGATCACAGCAGTACAGGCTGTACTGTACAGTACCGGTACAGTAACAGTATGGGACAGCAGGGGAAGTACCTCCCTCCTAAGGGTGGAGTTGTGGGAAAGGCATGGCTGGCTCAGGTAACAGGAACAGGAACAGGAACAGGAACAGGAATAGGAACAGACAGCACAGATGGACACACAGGGTGGCCAGCAGAACCGGACTGGGCAGGACCAAGCAGGCAGTGCGGCGAGGGAGGGAGCAAAGAAGGTGTGCGGCAGCGTCATGTTAGTGGGTTGACGTCGACACGCGCTTGGCTGCAAAGGGGAACAGGGGCGAGGATGGGATCCCGGATGCAAGTCAACAGGGTACTTGGCGGGCAGGGCAAGTCCCGCTGCGGGGCCCAGGTACCTTTCTGAAGTGGGAAGAACAACACAGGGTCGAATAATCAGATAAAATGCTTAAAAATAGGAAAATAAAACGGCCAAAGTGAGCCGGCGCCTTGGGACGGTGGGAGAGTGTCCAGCCGAAAGGGCGGGCGTGCCTACATAGACGAGGTACCTAAGTAGCCTAAGGAAGTTGGGTAGAGGTAGAAGTACAGACTTAGAGGTGGCACTGTGACTGTGACAAGACGGGGAAGGGTGGGCAGTCTGTCACACAATCTCTCATTCTCTCTCTCTCTCTCTCACCAGTCTCAGTCTCAGTGTCAGTCTCACTCCTAGTCAGTCTCTCGGTGACGGTGGGCCGGCCTCGCAGAAGCAGAAAGAACGATCGGTGGTGGGTGGTGGCCAATGTGCCCACCCCCCTTCCTAAACGCACCAGGTACTGTACTGTGCATTTCTGTGAGGGTCTCTCACCGTTCACACTGTATTTCTCGAAGCACGCTAATGGAAGCATCTCAAGCTGCTTGCCCAGGGTACCTGGCTTGCTGGGTACTCACTAAAGTACCATACCCTTGTCTTCGCAACGGTTCTATACCGTAATTTTTAGTCTACATTCACCAAGTTAGGTAGTGCACTCTACCGTGTCGGTCGTACCTTCCCAGCCAGCCCAGCCTAACCCGACATACTTGTTGACCTGTGGAATCTCGCTCCACCACCATCTCTCTACTCTACAATTGGAATCGGGGATGGCGGGTAGACAGTCAGAAAGGTCCACGGGTCCATTCTCCCACTAGACGGCTCTGACGGTCGGTATTTGAGTACAATTATAACAACAGACTACCCGACTTGGACATGGACAAATTGCCGAACTGACTCGACTACACGACGGCGTGCTTGGTGTCTTGTCTACCCGCTCGCCGAGGCGTCCGAAACCGAGCGAGACTCCATCAACCACGTTCCATGCGGCACAGCACAGCACAAGACAGCATAGCATAGCATAGCACAGCACCGCGGAGATTCAAGATCGCCATCAACCACTCTAGGCAGTATCAGGCGGTAAGGCGACGCCATATCCCAGCACTGCGGGCACCTATATCAGCACGCCAGCTTGCAAATGTTGCTTTGTGGCTGCACCCAAACGCCTCCCAGAGGCGCTGACTGGGATGCTGGTCGTGCCCTGCCAACACGCGGAGGAGCAGCCCGAATGACCACTCTCCTCCCTCGTCCTATGCGCGCTTCTCTCCACAGAGTGTGGTCGCCTGTGTGGCACTTCAAATGGCCCGAATACCTGCTGGCACCAATCAAATCGCCCCCAAGGCATGAGACTTAGCTATGGTAAGGTTTGGTTAGGTCAACCACCTTGGGGCATTTTGTCCCTGAGCAGACACGATTGAGGCTGTGTCGACCCTGGCGGGCTCGAATCAGTAAGATGCCGCGCCATTGGTCAGTCTCTAGTGCCCACTCGGCCTCTACCGGTATTGACGATGATGACGATGATAATGCTGATGACAGTTAAAGTTACGAACAAAGTAAACTAGGAATAGACTAGATAGTCTCAGCTCAGGTACCGGCTGGAAGCAATGTCCTTCTGTCTAGTCTGGTAACATCCCAGCCCACAGGGCAGGGCGGACAGTCCATATTCATGCATAACATTACGGTACATGTTCTTTTTTCTTTCTTTCTGGCCTCTCCGGGCACAGAGACGCCATCTTCCTTCCCGTGGGAGGTAAGCTCGATCCACATCGCGTACTTCCCTGGTATTGCAGGTTCAGGGTCTTTCGGCGCCTGAGGACCTATTGCTCGACAACAGGCCGCCTCGCACCGATGAGCCATGCATAGTTTGAGTGTTGCTGAAAGGGCGCAGCAGTCGTGTCAGATTAAACTGGCCGATTACCACCTCGTACCGCCCCGTTGAGCAGTATCATCAACGCGACCGTTAATGGCAAGGAATTGACATTTTCCCGTCTTCATATCGCCGTGGGATTGCTGGTCGGCGGCGGAGTTTGGCGTTGTTGCATTTACATTTTGGGGTCCAGAAAACCGCCGAAGCCAGCGGTGTTGACCGTTGACTGCATTGACTCTGACAGAGTGTAGACGAGCCAGGCACTGAGACAGAACAGCAAATTTGTCGTCACTCATTGAGAGGATATGGCTTCTCAGTCATCCGGCCTTCTGGTGTGGTAACATGCGTTTATGGCCGACTAGTCATCCACCAGCAAGCAGACCGCAGGAGACGAGCAGCATCCTGCAAAGCCCCTCCTCCTCTATATGATGGTCCAATCGTGAACTCCGCTGCGCCAAAAGCCTAAAGCTTGCATGCATTTCAATCTAGCGGGAAATATCACTCATTCACCGCCAGGATTTCTTCTTGTCTGCGTGCACACGATGCTTCAAGTCTGAGCCCCCGCTTGAGCGCTTTACTCAAGACCCAGATCACGACAGGGAACACTCACGGCTGGCTAGGACAGGAAAGGATAGCCTACCCAGCTCACCTTCTTTTTTCTGCTGAGGATGTTACGCAGCAGCCAGAACGCCTCCCATCGCGCAAACCCGAGTGGCATGGGCTCCAACTATTGATTAGGACTAGGCACACAGCATCATGCACGTGCGCATGATGGCCCATGAAATATCGTCGAAGGCATGGGAAGAGCCTCGTTCACGGGACCCATACTATACCAATACCAACCTCCTAAACTCCAACCAATCCCCAAGCAGAGCCCGATCCCCGCTCAGATATGTTCCAGGGTTCTACATGACATGGTGCGTCTTCACAGCAGCAGAAATCGTGCCATGCCGGGGTGAAGGGTGAAGACGCTCCAAAAGTGGTTAATGGACTGCAAATGTGTCGACATCCGAAGAGATCTAAATCAGACTCTCTTGGATCATATCGCACCTGGGATACAGATCTCTCTGCATGACACGGTCCCGCCATCAAGATTCTGATAGGCTGTCCTTTGAACCAACAGAGAGTTGATGGACAAGGGATGAGGCGTGGCTCGTTGCACTGCTTAACGCAACATCCTCCTCGTACAAATCTATTCCCAGGCCTGGACAACGAATCATTGTCAGCCGATGGGGCTTCTAGGAGCGGACGGAAGTTTCCATCTCCTGTGAGGACTAGGAAAGGATGCTATTCAGAAATAGCCTCTCACCATGACATCGCTCAACGTTTTCCATGTCGATCTAGAGACTGTACCATGCTCACAATTCGCCCGGCCAGCAGAGGAGATGGCCCGGGGCCGATTCTCCTGGCCACGACAAGCGGACCAGTTAGGATGAAGAAACTCCACCCGCATGAGAGACCGAAGCCGCCGGCAAACGGACAACGCTACCCACAAACGTTGAAGTAACTGAAGGGAAGAGCCCTGCACTTTTTCTTCGCGAAAGCCCCCATGCGAATATCCCATTCGTGCCTTGCCCTCAGGATAAAGGTCCCCCGATGAATTATGTCATGGCCCACACCCGCCGGTGAAAAGCTTAAACCGAACCATTATTCCACTGCCCACTCCCCCACGGACAGCGGTTTCCAGGCTCAACAAAGTTCAAGCTATATGCTCTCCCGCGGGTGGATCGGTACTCTGAAACTGCTCGCTGGT